AAATAGGATATCAAGTCCGCATCTTGTACAGCAATTAACCACTAGGAAGAATGTATGCAATGTGTTAATTATTGAAACTGTCCTACCAATTTGATTTAAAAATGTCTCATTGCTATTTGTTTATCAATAAAATTATGGGAAAAAAAGAATCAGGCTAAAAACAAAGACAAAGACAAAAACAAAAACAAAAACAAAACTGAATGGGGTTCATGCCGGCCCGCCAGCGCATGCCACCCGCGCACGCGCATCTCCAGGCCCAGCCCTCCCCTTTCCCCGCCTGTCCCGCGGTCCCACGGTGCCAGGTCGCCCCCAGACCCGCCCCTCCTGCCACCCTCTCTGTGTCCCACGCTCTCCAGCTTTGTGCCTGGGGCGCCGAGTCGCTTCCCATCAGCTGCGAGGCGGGAGTGGGGACCTGCTACGAGGTGCCTCCTGCCGCTCGCTGCCCCAGGCAGGAGCACAGTCCCAACGACAGGATGTCTTACTGCCTCAACTCAGAACAGCACTGGACCTGGGCCCCATCTATGTGAGGGAGAACAGGCAGTTGCACATGGTCAGCCTGGCCCGTGGTGGCGTCCGGAGCAGCTTAAAGAGACCAAGTCCTTTCAGACTGTTTCCCAAAGGCTTTTCCGTGGAGCTTTTCATGAACAGGGAAGATGACACCGCACAGAAAGAAAAGACCGATCACTTCCTCTTCACGTACACCCGGAAGGGAAATCTCCCTACTCTGCCAAATCCCTCTTCAGCCTCCTCCTGGGCTTCATCTCTGACAGTGTGGATCACATTGATTCCCTCATCAGCTTTCCTGAGCAGATTACTGAAAAGCTCTTCTCTGCTGCTGAAGCCAGACAGAAATTCACACAGCCAGGTGCAGGGCTGCAGGCTTTACAGAAGTTCACGGAGGCCTGTGGAAATCTGGTGCTCTGTTCCCGATGCTTGCGGAACAGATACCTGGTGATTTCAGAGACGCTTGAGGAGATTAAGTCTTTCCGAGAGCTGAGCCGCCTGGATCTTTCCTGTTGCAAGCTCAGAGACGAGCATGAACTCCTAGGACATCCCACCAGTGAGGCCCTGTCCAGTGGAACTCAACTTCACCTGAAGGGTAATTGTTTATCTGCTGCTGGGGTGCGGAAAATGACAGCACCAGTTCGTGTGATGATAAAAGGCCTTGCGAACCTAACGCTGTTAGACTTACCTTGTAACCCTGATATCACAGATGCAGGAATTGGATACCTCTTTTCTTTTAGAAAACTAAACCTTTTAGATATCTCTGGAACGGGACTCAAGGATTATCAAAACTGTCAAGCACAAACTTCAGATTCACATAGGCCTTGTTCATTCCAAAGTGCCTTTGAAGGAATTTGATCGTGGTAACTGCAAGACAGAGGGCTGGGCTGACCAGCTTGTTCTGCAGTGGGATCGATTGATTGTGGAAGCCTTGAAGCCATCAAGTGTCTCAGAACCTCAAATGACACCTCAGTACTTCTATCCGAATCGAGCACTAGTGGGAGCCTCGAGGATGTGTGCCCTGGCAGACACCCACATGAACTCTTCTGGGAAACTCCAGTTCTATAAAGAGAAAGCCCTGGACTGCCATGGGCCATTGTTAAAACATGAAGCGTCCTCCAACCCAGAGTCAAAGAAGAACAAGAAGCGAACTTTTGAGGAGTCAGAGCAGGAATAGAATAGTTCTTCACAGGCTTCAAAGCAGAAGTATATATGTCTTGCTGTGGAAGACCAGGACTTACTAAATTCCTACTGACTGGCAGATACAAGTTGCTTTTCTACATTCAACTCTAGTGTGTAAAGAGGGGACTGATAATTTGGGTTTTATTTGAATTTACCTATGACTAGCATAGTAAGCAGATATTTCTACTTTTGTGGTGGGGAGGGGAATACTATGGAAGTATATAATAATTCTAATGTATATTTTCAATACACAGTAATTTTTTCAAGTAAACCTTTTTGCTGTCCTTAAAAACACACACACACACAACTGAATGGGACCTCTGGGGACATAGCTCTGCGGTGCCTCCCCAGCAAATGCTAGGTCCCGAGTTTGATTCCTGGCACAAAAACAAAGCTGAACCGGACCTTGGCAACTGCCCAGCTAAGTCCATCCCACCTCCACTGGCACATGGCTTTGCTGCGCTCAGGTTTTCACTTTATTTAGATTGCTTCCCAAGAAAGTGAGTGGATTCTAATGTTCTAATGCTCTTTCTAGAGGGAAAAAGAATCATATAACTCAGAGAAAAAAATCGAAAAATGACTTACCTGAAATGCAAAAAAGTCCTCTGCAGGCGCATTCATGATATTGCAGATCTGAAAGCCATGGAGGGGAACAATGGAGTTATGGTTAGACCTGAGAGGGCCCCCAGGGAAACAGCTCATTCTGTGCCCAGAAATGCCGTGTCCTTGACCAAGGCGCTCCTGTTCTGTTCACCAGGTAGACAAATGCTAGGTGATTCGAGGTTATTAACTGAGGTTACTGGCTAGAAAAATCGTCCTATAAATATTACTTCTGGTTATTTACTCCACTTTGAAGGTCTTTCTAAGCCTTAAAAAAGAGTGCAGGTTGTCATCATTAATAGCGGCGTAGTATCCCATTTTGTTGTTTCTCTTTTGTGGGGCGTTTGTGTTGTATCCAATTTTTTATGTTTTCATTTTGGTTCATTGTGTGTTTGTTGGTTGGTGCTGGGGATGGAACCCAGAGATGCTAGGCAAGTGCTCTACGAAATTAATTATATTTTAAACTGCTACAAATAATGCTACTCTTTATAGTAGCATTATGTCTTTGACTGGATAACTTTCTCTTCTTTTTTGTATGTGTGTACAGGAAAGTTTGTTTCCCTGGGGTATAAACCCCAAAGTAGAATAAGAAATTAAAAGTGTTGTAACTACACAAAGTGGTTCTACATTGCCAGATTTCTCTTCTGAAAGTTGGACTAGGGGATTAGATGAATTTATCAGAGCCCCCAAAGCCCAGCCAAGGGTGTGTGGGTACTGCACACAGGCATCTGTTTGAGAGGGAGCACGGAACTAAGGCCAGCCCTTGTGGCTGGCTGAGCCTTACCCTGACCTTACTCTACCACATGGGCTTGCAGCAACCCTGGTTTTCAACACAGGAAGGAGCTGTCAGTCTCAAAAGGGGAGCCGTCCCTGCCCTCGTCCTTTCAGCCTCTGTATGAACCAAGTCCGTTCCCTGCTGACTGCTGATCTCTCAAGTGTCTCTCGGCTTTGAGGATGCTTGAGTCTCCCAACCTTGAAAATGAACCCCCTCCTTCACCTGACATGGTTGCCATAGCAATCATCCAGGCAGGTAGTCTCCTTCTACATTCTTTTCCTTGTCATCACCTATCCATTCCTCAGAAGACCTCCACTTTGCCACCAAATCCACTTTCATGAGGGTCACCAATGACCTACTAATGGCCCAACCCCAGGGACTTCTCATTTTCTATTGCGCCAGTCCACTGTGCTGCGCCTGGTCTCCCTCCCTTTGCTGACCTTTCTACTTGGTTTTCATGACACCACCTCTCCTGGGTCTCCAAACACCTCTGAACACTCCTGTTTTCCCTTCACACACACCTCTCTACCAACCTGCTTGGGACACAGTGGCATCCTCCAGCATTTCACCAGCCCTCATGGATTCAAGGACCATCTCTGCAGTCCTCATAGCTTTCTAATCTTATCTCTAGCCCTCCTCCTTCCCCATAGCATCAGAATTGTTTCTTCATCTACCTGCTAGATATTTGCTCCTGAAAAATGCCTGTCTGACCTTGGCTGAAATTGATCTCATGCTCTTACAGCAAAAACTGAGAGGAAACATGAGTCAACCAGTCTAAAGTCTTCAAATTAACTCTGACTCTTCTGCCTTTCCCCATCTACTTATTTTATAAATTAATCTTATTGCATCATCTACTTTTGATCAGTCAGAAAGTCCTGCCAGTTTTACCCTCTCAATATTTGCTTTGACACCTTACACTTGTCCATCTTGTCTCTGTTGGAGTTGTAGTCAGTGAGTCCTTTCACTTCATGCTTTGTCATGAGCACTCAGTGGCAGTAAAGTCAGTATTCCTCACTGCACCTGACTTCCATCACTCTTGTTCAAACTATGCACTGGTCACCCTGCCTCTGGTCCTAGTTTTTCAAGTCCATTTTCCAAGGCATATCAAGTCCTCTTGCCAGCAGTATCTTGCTAAGATGAAACTTGAGTATGCCAACCTTCTGCTTAAACATTCAACATCTGGGGCGGGAGATCTAGCTCAGCGCTGCAAACACCAGCCTGGCAAGTGCAAGGTCCTAAGTTCAATTCTCAGTACAAAAAGAAAAAGTCCAACCTCTATAGATTAAAGTCCCACCACCTGGCCATGACATCCAAAGCCTACTGTGATCTGACCCCTTCTCCTTCACCAGTCATCTCTTGTTGTCTTCCTGTCTCCAGGAAGACAAACTGTAAGACTAAACTGCACAGAGTGTGCTGTTCCAAACCTTCATCCACTTCATGTGCCTATTGTTATGGTTGGGTATGGAATTTCCCCAAAGGCCTGTTTTAAAAGGGGTGGCCCCCAGTTGGGCATTACAGAAAGGTGTGCAGACCCTATGGAGGTGGGGCCCAGAGAGGTGATCTTTTTTTTTTTTTGCTCTGAATGCCTTCAGGGCAGGTTTGGCTGGCTTGAGTTGTGGGGATCAAATCACAGCAACCTGAGCCTGACTGCTTAGTTAAAGCAGCCACTCAAAGAACTGAGCTAAGGGGCAGGCCCTCAGAAAGGTGATCTTGAAGGGGATATTGGAACCCACCCCTTCTCTTCCATACTCCTTTTCACTTCCTAGCCACTGTGAGGTGAGCAGCTTTGGTCTGCCATGTACTCCCACTGCAATCTGCTGACTTGCTCCAGGCCTCTAAGTGGTGAGACCAACTGACCATGGACTGAAACCTCCACAACTGTGAGCCAAAACAAATCTTTCCTCATTATATGCTGATTGTCTCATGTATTTGTTACAGTAATGAGGTGACTAACACACATTCCTGCTATCAGGGAAGATGGATGGATGGATGGATAGATAGATATAGGTACATAATTATTCTTAGCTTCAGAATAAAAACTACCTGATTGATCTGTCTTTGTATCCCCAGAGCCTATCATAGTGCCTGACCTACAGAAAATGCTCAATAAATAAACTCCTTGTTACATGAACAGCATTGTATAGTGTGCTGGAAATTAATACAGGAGTAATCAGGCCAAAATATGGTGTGATGTACAGCCAACAGATATGATACTGTCTCCTATCAGGTGCAGGGAACACTGTCTTTCCATCCTCGACTCAGAGTGTGTAGGGCATAGCGAGAAATAAAGCACTGGAGCTCTCTGTATGTGGTGTGGTTGGAAATGCCGCAGGACTGGAAGGTTGAGGATGGCAATTACATCAGGTACGAAAAGTTGGGACTTAGTCTCTGGGAAGCTGGGAAGCTAGCCAGTCATTGTCCTTAACACAGTTGTCAGGGAGACTGTCCATCTTTCAATCTAAGGATTATTTCTCTGTATTTTATATGTACCTATATGTCAATTCTCTGTTCACTTCTGTAGATCAGTTGTCAAGTGATTGAAAACCAAGAGAAATAGCCTTTGGAGAATCACTTGTCCTCTCATTTTTTTCTACTCTCTTGATCTAAACTCCTCTCTCTGTTTTACCTGATTCAAACTTCCCCTCTTCCGAGTTGTGTTACTTACCAGGCCATTTTGGGCAACGTATGTAGGGAGACCACTTGCTAAAGCCCAGTGGTCAGGAGGTGGATTCCTGTAAGGGCCAAAAATAAATGGTGACTTTCAGGGCAGGAAGTTAGAGTAAAACTTTGAATGTGGGTCTTTGCTTCTTCCCGTCATTCTGCTGTCCCCAGCACCAGCTTACATCCACTATAGCTGACAATCCCAAATGCTGGCCAGCCACCTAGGTAGTCATTTCAAGATGAAGAAGAGTGGTGAATGTAACCATGTACTGACTCTCCATGAAGTTCTTTCCAAGAAAAGAGACATGCATTGTAGGATTTGCCAGCTACTGAGCAAAAATAGACAGCAACACTTCCCTTAAAAGGTTCATAGTTTTAGATTATGCGGTGGAAAACACATCTGTTGTGAGCTCCTACGTGTCTAAGCTCTAAACTAGCTGTTTTAGATATTTATTTATAGAGATAATATTGTGATTTTTGGTATTATAGTCATGTGCTGTATAATGATATTTTGGTCAACAGCAAACCACATGCATGATGGTGGCCGCATTGGATTACATCACCTAGTGACATCATGCCTTTCTTAGTTTGTGTAAGTACATTTTGTGATGTTTGTAGAATGGCAAGAGCAATTAACAAGGTCTTTCTTGGAATGCGTCCTCTTCCTTAAGTGAATTATGATTTTACTATTTTTTGCTTATTTATAGTGAGGGAAAAAATACATTGAAAATGCCTTAGAAATTCCATCAGCCACTAGAAATGAACACCTCGGAAACCGCATGCACGCCAAGAAGAGCACAGTCAGCACCTTGGAAGCCCCTGACCTGGTTCCCCCAGTCAGTCTTCTCCCTTACCTCCAAAGTAACTATTATTCAACAATGGTAATTACATTCTTGTCTTTCCGTAGAGTTTTGCTACCCAAGTACCTTTTTCTATACCCCCTAATTTGACTTTGCTTGTTTTTTTTTTAACTTCATTTAGATAGACTCATAGAATGTATATTAGGTTTATTTATTTATTTATTTATTTATTTATTTATTTATTTATTAGGGCTGGCCAGATAGCTCAACAGATTAAAGCACCTGCTTAGGCAGATGCAGGGGCCAGGGGTTCAATTCCTGGCGTGCCATGCCAGCCCCGCTCCCAGGGCACACTGAGATGGCAACTGAGACTGTGGTGGCACATGCCTGTAATTCCAGGCTTGGGAGACTGAAAACAGGAGGATCACTACAAGTGCGATCTATGTAGTGAGACCCTGTAGATCCTGTACTGAAATGCAAAAAATAAAATATTTATTTATTGGTGGGGTTCTTTAAGACAGGGCCTTGCTACGCAGTTCAGGATGGCCTTGAGCTCACTTTGTAGCCTAGGCTGCTCTTGAACTCACAGTGATCCTCCTGCTTCAGCCTCCCAAGTGCTGGGATTACAGGCATGCACCTGGATGATTTTTCATTTTATTGACTTGCAGCTTCCCCCAGTATAGTAACACAATGATCCATTCAGTGTTGATATGCATTCCCCCCTTCATCCCCATCAATTTGGGGCTAATATAACGGACCTATTATGAATACTTTTGTACTTAGGTGCTCTCAGTTCTCTATAGTGTACCCCAGAGGCAGGAGGCAGACCAGTGAAGTAAGGCTATGTATGTTTCCGCCTCCTCCCCTCCCTCGAAAGTTTACTGGAGCTGAGGTGGTCTGTCCCGCAGGACACTCCTCCGGGCTCTGGAGCCGGAAGTGGTGACAGTGGTGCCATTACCTGCACACTGGCTCCTGGTTCTAGGCTGCACTCACAGCTGTGTGATTCGTCCCTTTGCTCTTAGACCTTCCATGAATTACCATAATTTGCAAGTGACACCTGCTTTCAGCTGGAATCTTGTCTAACACAGATAGATGGGCATCTGGCTCAGTACTTTTTCAGCCATCATCCTTTCTTGTGATGAATGTATTTAAGGCAGTAAATCTCACTTTAAGCACTATGTCACCATATCATATAGGTTTTAATACTTTTTCATTTAACATTTTAAAAATGTTTTTATTTTTGTAGTATTTTTTCAGCTCATAATATTTTCTAATTTCTATTAGTTAATATTTTTATCCATTAGTTGTTTGGAAGTGTATTTCCCTCTGGAAAAGTATTTCCTTGTTTCCAAGTATATGAGAATTTTCTGATTAGTTTTTTGTAATTGCTTTACATATTTTTATTGTGAGCAAGAACATTCTATGGATGGATTCGGTCTTTTGAAATTTATTAAGGTTTGCTTTATGGCCTAGTATATGTCCAGTTATTGAGAAGATTGAATGTATGCTTGAAAAAACAGCGTTCTCTGCTTTGGGAGATGAACAATACTCACTTATACTTTTCAGTTTTGTGGTTTTTTTTTGTTTTTTTTGTTTTTTTTTTAGCATGCAAGAGAGGGCCTGCCCCTTAGCTCAGTTGTTTAAGTGCCTGCTTAAAGAAAGCAGTCAGGCTCAGGATGCTGTGGCCCCAGACCCTCAAGGCAAACTAGACCTGCCCCGAAGTCATTCTGAGCCCGCCCAAAAAAAAAAAAAAAAATCCTTAACATGCAAGAGATAATCTGGTTTTCTTTTGCTAATATGATCAGGTAGTTCTAGTTGCTTTTTTATTTATTTTATTTTATTTATTTATTT